CCACGGAGCATCCCGGCCTGGGCCTCCGGGCCTCTGGACCGACGGCTTCAGGATCGGCTGAGGTCAGACTCGGGGTGCTGGCTCCAGCGGGGTGCTAGGTTGGCGGGCTGGAGTCCAAGTCATTGTTGATTAAAAAGACAGGGGCCTCCTTTGCCGCCCTGGCTGGCACCCAGCCCTGGGACGGACGAGGGGGGATGTGGTGCCGGATGAGTGGCCGGCCGGCCAGGTGCCTGTGGAACAGACTCGGGCGCAGGGGCTCCCAAAACAGGGAGAGGCCCAGACGCAGCACCTGGGCCCGCGTTCCCACGGGGCCACACGACCAGCAGCTGCGGGTATTCTCAGACGAGATCCCCGCTAGCTGCTCCCCGACCCCACCCTGGGCCCAGGGTGGCTGCCAGCCCGGCCCGGCCCCTGTGCCCCGTCCAGCCAGGCTCCAGGGCCGCCCGCGTTTGCCATCACAGAGCCACTTCTGGTGCAGGATCGGGAGGCCGGGCTTTCGTCCCTCCTCTGTCCCTACGTCGCTGTGTGATGTGGGGGCCGGCGCTCCTCGCCCTGACCTCCCTGCTGGCCATCGGCGCCTCCCCTCCAACCCCCAACCCCCGGTTCTCTGCCCACCAGACCCTGCACCGGGCGGGCCAGGTGGCCCAGCCGCAGCCGAGTGGGAAAATGTCACCTTGCGAAGCGGCTGCTTCCCTTGCCGGCGTTTTAATTAAAGCCTCTTCGTGGATATTTATTCAGGGGAGCTGGCGAGGAATAATGGAGCCAACAGAATCGGAGAGAATTAGTTTCTGCCGTAAAATTCATGTGTGCTGGTAACGCGGGCCGAGGCTGGGAGCAAACGCCATTGGGCTTCGGAGGGAATAGAGATCTTACAGAGGAAGCACGTGCGGGGTTCGGTCCGTCCTGTGCGGTCCGGCCTGCTGGCCTGCCCACCGCAGCCCCAGGCAGCTGCCCCGGGGGCTGAAGACCAGCCCTGTTTACATCCAGCTCCTCACCCCACCCCCCATGGCTTTTGTGTCCCTCAAGGCGGATGTACCCCAGGGCTCTCCTGGTTAGGCCAGCAGTGGGCTCCACGGAGGCTGCTCAGTGTGCGGGTCCCGGCCTCAGCCTCCCTGTCCGGCGCTCGGCAGAGCCGGGTCTGGCCACGCAAAGGCGGGAATGATGCCCGAGGCCCGAGGCCGGGGAGGCAGGGCCCCCGTGTTATTACTGCCTCGCACATTTCCGTTACTTTAATGCAATGAGTGACTCATCTGCCCACCTGGAGATGTAATTTGTGAAATGCTTGAAAAAATATGCATCTCCACTAACTTCAGCACGGGTAATCATGCCCCATGGCCTGGCCGCCTCCCCCGTGTCCAGCAGAGGGGGCCCTTGCTCCTGCCCTCGCCAGGGAGCGACGGTGGGGCCGTCTGAAGGTGGAGGGGGGGCAGGGGCAGGTGGGGACCGGCTGTGTTCCCTGGTGCCACCCTCCCACCTCCTGAGGCCCGGGGACTGCAGGCAGACGTGGCTGCGTGGGATCCTGGGCCCAGGCAGTCTGTGCCACACCGCCCCCCGGGACCTCTCTCCCTGAGACCCCCTTCCTGGGAGATTCGGCTCCTGCTGGGTGGGAGGCGGGCTCAGTGGGGCGTGGAGGGGCGGAGGGTCCTGGCCTCCAGACTCTGCGTGCAGCCCGGCTCCGGAGGGAAGCGTTCGGGGACGTGAGGCAGGAGGATCAGGCTGAGCCGCGGAGGAGGGAAGCCGCGAGACATGCACGTGGCAAAGGCAAGTTCTGAATCATTCCCATCACGGTCCACGGTGCCACTGCTTTGTCCCTAAGCTGGGGTCTCCCTACGGCCGAGAGAATAGCTGCGCTCGAGCCGCCTGGCCACTCCGTGGTGGACAAAGGCCACTCACTCCATGCGGTTGACTTTCTCATCCCACAGGGTACAAGGTGGGGTGGGGAGGGGAGGCGAGTCTCTCAGAAGCTTTCCCAGGACAGACCTAAGCAGAGAGGCCAAGCCCTCGAACTCACACACCACCTACAGGAAGCCTCCCCGGATTGCCTCACTGGACAGGGGCCATCCCTGCTTGGGACCCCCTGACACAGACGGCTCTGCCCCGGTGCTCCCCGGGTGCCCTGACGCTCCCGAGCTGGGTCCGTGGCCACCGTTGCTGGTTGCGCTCATGGCAGCCATGTGACCGGCTGGTGAGAGGTTGGCACGCGCCCGATAACCACCCACGCTGGCCGCCGTGGGGAGGAGCCGGCATCTCCTGCCAGCGGTGAGGCCCAGCCGTGTCCTTTATGAAACCCTTTCCTCGTTCAGAGGCTCAGAGAGCCTCGCCCTCTCTCCTCTGGGCGACATCCGCCAGATTTATTTCTCTTTCACGGCGGTCCTCCGGTCACATCGGAGCAGAGGGAAGAGCGGACGGTTGCTGTAAGGTGGTCGTTTCCGGGTGCTTGTGGGTCTGGGGAGGTGGGAAGCCCAGGGCACTGCGCCTGGCCCTGCCATGCCATTGCCACCAGCTCTGTCACCACCGAGGGCTCGGGTCAGAGTGAGCGCCTTTACCTCGTCCAGAGCCCCCTCTGCTCGGGGTGTACAGTTGCCATGGCGACACCCCAGGACGCTCCCAGCAGCCACAGCCTCTCCAGGCCGGCACCCCCATGGCCTCGGCTGTCTTTCTCGCGTTGGTCATTGCAATACGGAGAGCCAGCCCTCCGCGTGGGCACCAGGCAGTGTGCGCCACATGGAGCTGGCTCTCCGGGGCCAGGCGCCTCTCCTGCAGCGCAGCCCCCAGGCTAGTGAGGGGGTCACACGCCGACACACCGCAGATACGGTCCCCTGCAGAGGGGACCCTCCAGCCAACATACCCGCCGCTCCCTGTATTCTTCTGCGGCCGACCCGGCCCCCCTCTGCGCTTCCCTGTTAAAGGGCTTGTCTGGAAGGGCCTCTGCTTTGTTTAATTTCTCTTTATCCCCTGCCCCTCCCCCCTAAATGGCTCCAGCAATAAAGTGCTCAGGAGAAATGGGTCAGCATTCAGATGAATGAGGAGCCAGATTTACCGACGCGACTAAGAAGGGGCGGTCCCCTGAGCTGGCGCTGCTGCGCGAATCCAGCCCGTGTTGGATATCACAATCTCTTGACACAAATATCACTCTCTTGACAAATGAGATGTGAACCGATGAGTTTTTGCACATAAACTTCCCGTGCAGAAGATGTGTCTGGCGCGTTGGGCAGAGGGACGCAGAAAGGGGTCTGGCCAACAGTAAGGCAGGAGACAGCAAGAGAGCTGGGGGGGGGGGGGTGCCCAACGCGTCACGGGGCCCACAAGTTACCAAATCATGAGGATGCATGAGCAAATGACCCGAACTGAAGGGGATGTGGGGGATCCCCCGCACGCACACCCCCCCAATCCCGGGACCTTTTTCCAGTCCAGGATGGCAGCCTGGGCTCAGCTCCACACCCACCAGGCATCATCCCGGGGCTCTGCCAGCGCCCCGTCCCCTCTCTGCACACACTTTACCGGGGCGCACACCTCCCCGGGGCGCACACTTACCGGAGCCATGCCTCTGGCGCAGAACCACCTGGCCGGGTGGCGAAGCTGATGAAGCAGCGGTTGCAGCGGCGACACTGGTGGTGGCTGCGTGGGTCGCGGAAGTGGCGGCCTCGGGGACTCCGGGACCGGGGGACGCAGGAGGGCTTCCCGGAGGAGGCGGGCTCTTGTGACTTCGGCCCGGCTGGGCTGTGGGGCGGCCTGCGGTGCCGGCGATGCCCACGTGGTTGGCGCTGGAGGCGTGGCGCCGGGGCCCGCCGCTCTGGATGTGGGACACGGCCTCCGCGGCCTGCATGCGGGGCGGCGCGAAGCGGGACAGCACGCGCAGCAGGGCCCGGGCCGCGTGCTCCTGCGTGTCCTCGGCGCCGTAGTCCGCCACGCGGCACTCGTACACGCCCTCGTCCTGCCGCCGCACGGCCGACAGCCGCAGCCGGTGCGAGATGTCATTGCCCTGGACACGCACGGTCTGCAGGAGAGGGGCTGGGTCAGGGCAGGGAGGGGCGTTGGCGCTTCACCCCCCAACCCTCCCTCCCCCCCTCCCCCATCCACATGGGGCTCCCAACTCTGACTGTGCCCGGTGACCCTGCCCATGGCATTGTGTCCGGTTCCCCGTCATCGTCACGGAACCCGGGCTGGGCACTAGGCAGTGTGGGCTCTGAGGCCCCGCCTTCCTCCGCCTCCACATCTCACACTAACACTTCTTTATTCTTTATTATTTAAAAAAATATTTTTTATTGATTTCAGGAGGAAACGAGAGGGAGAGACAGAAACATCAGTGATGAGAGAATCACGAATCAGCTGCCTCCTGCACGCCCCCACTGGGGACTGAGCCTGCAACCCCGGCCTGTGCCCTGACCGGAATCAAGCCCGGGACCCTTCAGTCGGCAGGACAATGCTCTATCCACTGAGCCAAACCGGCTAGGGTGCCAGTACCATTTCTTTATCTGGAATCTGGAGCCTGAGCGGTATCCCCTGCCCTCGGAGGACACATGTATACCTGCCGCATCCCCTGGCCCTACAGAGCTCACCCTCCACCCTCCCAAGCAGGCAGGCCGGGCTGCGGCCTGGAGGGGACCTGGGGAAGCACTGGGTTTGCAATCCTCACCGTGCACCCAGGGAGCCCTCACCTCTGAACCCAGAGCGGGAGGAGGCCCTGCTAGTCTCCAGGCCTGAGACTTGCACATTCCCGCTGGGAAAGCTTGGCCGCATCTCCTGCCTGAGTCACACACCCCAGGACCCCGGCTCCTGCAAGCCTGGCAAGATGGCCCCCCCACCCCCATTCCCAACACCTTGCGCTGGGACCCAGGCGGGGGAGAGGGTTTCGTGTGGGGCGGGGGTGGGGCCCACCAGGCAGAGCCAGGGTTCGGCCAGGGTTTGGAGCAGCCGTTCCCCCCACCCCCGGCCCCCCCAGTTGCTGGGAGAAATGCCAGCAGAGGAGACGCAGGCCTCCGCGCAGGGCCTGAGCTCGCGCCATGGATGAAGGAGAGGTTTACAGGTGAGCGTACAGAGGAGGAAGGACACGCGAGCCTGGGACCCTCTGTATACAAAAGAGAAACCGATCCCGCTCCTGGCGACAGATGGCGCCCGGACTCGATGCGGGGTTGCAAGGAAGTCCCCACCTCGCGCGCCGCTAAGCCTTTCTAACGGGGAGGAAGGTGCGGGGCACGAGGCGGCCAGAAGGGGTCCCCCGCGGCCCGCGCTGGGCTCCACACTTACGCTGATTTTAGTCGCATCCTTATTTGTTACCTAAAATGCAAAGAGCAAGAGAGGGAGACATTAGGCTCCTGGCCTCCAGGTTGGGGGTCTCAGATGTGCCTCCGGCCAGGGGACCCTCCGCAGGTGGGCTGAGCGCAGGAGGCGGTGGGATTCCCAGCGGGGCTCCCGGAAGGACGCGGGGCTGCAGCCAGGGCCGCCCAGCACACCTGCCAGCCAGAGGGGAGGCTGGGATGCCACCAGGTGAGAAGGGAGGTGCGTCTCCACTCCAGGGAGCTCCCCGTCAGTCCGTGTTTTTCTAAACTTTGCCTAAAACTGGATGGAAGGGCCGGGTATCTGGAGAGGACCCAGAGGGAGGCACGAGCAGTGACCGGGTGGGACTCTGGGTAGAGGGGAGGTGTGTGTGTCTGTGTGCGTGTCTGTGTGTGTGAGCGTGGGGCGCACTCCTGCGTGTGCTGGGTATACATGATCCTATGAGGGTTGGAGGTGGCCCGGGGGGTTTCCCTGGACACGGTGCTCTGCTGGCCGCTGGAACCCAGGCCCAGGGGAGCTGAGCTGTTTGGCCCAGTGCCTCCGGGGCCGCAGAGTGTCTGAGGGCAAGGCGAGCTGGGAGGACCACATGTCTTCCTTCACCAGCAGCACCCGCCAGACCTGGGCCCGCAGGCAGACTGGATGGGGGGGCTTTTTAGAGGCTGAGTGTGGCCTTCGGGAGGTCTCAGGAGAAGGGACGAGTGACCAGGATTTGGGGGTACCTGTTGAGGCTGCCGTGGGGATGGGAGGGTGGGGATGGGTTGCCGCGGGCCGGGCAGCTGGTTACCTTGCTCCGGGCGCCGGGCGCGCTCAGCGCCAGCTCGTGCAGCAGCTCGCGGGGCGGCGCCCGCAGGTGCCACCACTGGATCTCCAGCGAGAACGCGGGGGCGCCGCTGGCCCGGAACGCGCAGGGCATCTCGATGTCGTCTCCCTCCCGCACGGTCACATCTTTGGGGACTTCGGTGAACGTCGCTGGGGGCGGGGAAGAGACGGGCGTGACCCAGTGCGGGGCGGGGGCCTCTGCTTCCCACCCGCGGCTCCACACGCGGTCCGGGCACCAGCAAAGTTCGCCCGAGCAGT